ACGGAGGAAGAGGTGGGGTTTAGGGCCGGTGTAGGTACGGAAGAGGGATTGTTCCACGTAACCTACAAAGAGGCAGGCGTGGCTTGGGCCCATGCGGGTGCCCATGGCTACCCCCTTTGTCTGTAGGAAGTGGGAGGAATTGAAAGAGAAGTTGTTGAGTGTGAGGACGAGTTCGGCTAAGCGGATGAGGGTATCAGTGGAGGGGGACTGGTCGGGCCTGCGGGACAGGAAGAAGCGGAGGGCCTTAAGGTCATCTGCATGGGGAATGCAGGTGTAGAGGGACTGGATGTCCATGGTGAAGATGAGGTGTTGGGGACCAGGGAATTGTTTGATAGTACTGAAAAAAGAGAGATGCAGTTGAAACGTTTTGTCTTGTGACCATCAAGGCTGAATCACAACATGAAATTTCAAAGGGAACACCATCATACTTGGAAAGAAAAGAATGCTGATTGCTTGGCAGGTGGACTATGATTGGTAGAGGGTTTGCCATGGAGAATGTAATGGGAACAATTAACTGCCAAGCTTTTGTTTCACTTCAGCTGGGCAGCTTGACTTTGATTCATCAAGCATTGCCACATGGAATGCACCAGGCAGTGTTGTTCATCAAGTTTATCTCCAGTTGAAAAAGGTGCAGTTCATTTCCATATTCTTTGTGTTTGCAAAGAACAGGGTCATGCAAGTGAATATATGTGACTTAGAACACACATAGCTAAGTGACACTGTGAGCCTCTTGAATTGGTTGAAAATGTAATTATTTGCACAATTGGGATTGTTTAGCAAATCTTCTCCATATCTAATTTCTGATACTACGATCTGAATTTTATAAGAATGTACGGGCTCTATGGCCAGTATTCTGCCTATTATGAACAGCTGAAGGGCATATTACAATCCGCCATTCATTTAGGAAGTATGGCTAACATACCTGGCATTACACCAGCACTGAAGATATACACATTTCCTATATTTGAAGCAGGCAGAATGACCTTTTGGCTTTGTGGCAGCATCTTGTAGTGAAGAAAACTGCTCGTGTTGCTACAGCACAGTAGCAGGGTCAAATGCCTGTTGCATGAATTTTTGAGACACCTTCAATTCCAGAGTAATCTGTTGTGTACTCTTCTGGACAGGAAGTGACAGCTGGGGTACATTCAAGAGTTTATTCAGCATGCAACATGCTGTGATCAGATTGGAGTAGCTATCATTCCACAGGTATAAACAACCAGCATCCTCGTTTTGTGTGGTACAAATTGTGTTCCCTTTGAAGTTTGATATTCTAGCAGTGCTGTGATGAGTGCCAAATAGAAAGCTTTGAACTACGTTTTTTTTTCTTAATACTCAAAACAATTATTATTTTGCTGCTTTTGAAGGCATCTTTTTCGTTCCCTCGGGAGGCTGCTTCAGATCAATCATTTAAGTTGGATTGTTTATTCAGTTTTTGGATTAGCCCGTTCGTGGATGCCAATTCCACATCCATCTGCAATTAGAACATTGTTTAGTGATAACATCATAAAGCCAGCAATAACGGCGATGCATGTACTGAGTTTTTGACCATGCCCCTTTCTTGCTGTTAGCTATTTGTGTGTGTCAAATGTTCAAATTCCTTGCCAATTCACTTTCAAAGACAAATGCATTGTACTTTTTTTTTAAGAAAAAGTATGTTTTTAAAGTATAATGGGAAAGTAATGTTTCTTTTTAAATCGATGTTTTAAGCATTTACATCACCTAAAAGTAAATTTTTTTGTATTTTTCAAAATGTAGGAAAGAGTGCAGTAAAGAGAAGAGGGCAGAATTGATGAAAGAATTGCAGCAGTTAGTCCATGGAAACATTAAAAATGTATGGCTATTTCCAAATTCTGCTTTCAACCTTTCGCTATGTTTCTGCTTTGGTTAAGTCAACTTCATGGATGTAATATGTGACTTAATTTCCAATTTTGATGTCACACGTAATATTAAAATGTTTGCATTTTTTTAAGTTGGTGTTTTGAGTATTCCGATCTATAATTTATAAATCACATTGTCCCTTTCATTCATTTAGGATTAAAAGAGAAGCTCACTTTCCTTCATTAACAGAATAGTACACCATATTTGACATGATATAACATTTTGCCCCTTTTAAGATAAGTAAGCAGTGCCTGGGGCATTATGCAGGTTCTGAGCATGTCTATCACATTTTAGCTTTAACACTAGCATATGCTGAAATTTAAAAATACAGATGGGAAATTACTTCATGCTGCTTTTCATTATTCTACCTTGGAATTGGAAGTTTTCCATCTGTCAAACTTGTCATCAAATTGCATTTAAATTATGATTTCAGGCTGCCTTGCAACCTTTTGAGCAAATTAAACACAGCTCCAACCTGCTATTCTTCTGTTTACAAACAATGTGTCATTTGACTTGCTGTGAGTAGGATCACAGGAAACCCACTTGCACTTGCATGATTTCTAAGATGTCTTTAATAATTGGATTATTAACTTGACACAAAAGTGCTGTTGAAAGTGTTGCTGGGGATTGTGTTGCCTGAATTTATCTCACCAAATTTGTAATTCTTTGTGGTTAAAGAAGCTACAGATTTTGGATTTATTGTGAATTGTATCTTATCATTTTGCCAGATTGCTTTTGCACATGATTCTGCTCGAGTTATCCAGTGTTATATTCAGTTTGGAGATGAAAAACAAAGACAAGAGGTCTTTGAGGAATTGAAAGGTACCTAAATTCTTTGTATGCTGTTCATTACATTGAGAATGGATATTGTTTAAATGCTTCCTCTTGCTTGACATTGATTTTTGTTTTATTTACAGAGCATTTGGTTAATTTAAGCAAATCCAAATATGGCAGACATATTGTGAAAAAAATTTTGATGTATGGGTAAGTAGGATGTTTAGATATAATTGTGACCCTGAAGACAGTAATGCACAAGTTAGCATTTGACAGTATTTATGTGATTTGTTGGATTTATAGCACACTAAATCGACTGCTAAATTGTTTTTCGTGACAGGTTTATACTTCTAGCTTAAATTTTGTCAGGGCTAAAATCCTAAACTATCTCTAATTTGTGGGTAGGGTTAGGGTTACTAGATTGCCTAGCTTGCTTTGTATGTGCTGAACTGTGGAATAAAAGGATGTAATGTCCATACCTGTTGTTTTCTTTTTGCGCTTGGAGTTTCAAAGATCGTATAACGTGAACATGGGACATTCATGAGTGGAGGGCGTGACATAGCAATTATCTAAGGGCAAGCCTTGTCTTTCTTTCTTCACACCTCACAGTCCTAATTGTTTCTCTTCAGTGACTCATAAGACCTTCCAAATTTCAAATTGTTTAGCATTCAGTCTTTGGCCCTTTAGCTCCACATCCTTCTAATCTTCAATTAACTCATGTTCTTTAGCTTTATAATATTGCCACTTTAAACTCTTGGAACTTCTCAATATGCATTAGCGATCTGTCCTCCTACTGTAGGGTTGTCCAGCAAATGTATGTGTCTGTGTCTCTCTCTCTCTCCCCCACACAGCAGTTAAAAACAGTCAGAAAGAAGTTGTCAAGATTAATTAAATATATTAGACAGTGTCATATTACAAAATGCTAAAGACACCATTGGTATATTTAAAGGGAAATGAGGTAGAAATTCAGGGATCTCTGCAAAAATAATGAAAGTAGGTAAAGAAAAACACTAATGAAGATAAACATAGATGAGGCTGTTCAGCTGTTTGAGCCTGTTCCACCATTCAGTGAGATCATGGCTGATCTGTGATCTAACTCCATATGCCTCTTTTCAACCCATATCCTTTAATACCTTTGCTTAGCTAAAAATTACCTGTCTTAGATTTTAAACTAACAACTGATTGAGTATTGACTGCAGTTTGAGGAAGAGAGTTCCGAACAACTAGCACCTTTTTGTGTAAAAGTGCTTCCTGACATCTCTAGAATCCCCAACCAGTGGAAATAATTTATATTTATCGACCCTGTCTTTTACTGTTATTATCAAGAAGACCTAAACCATATCACCCCTTAACCTTCTAAATTATAGAGAAAACAGGCAACAAATGTATAGGAAAAAGACTGACTGAGCAAAAGTTTTTTTTTGGGAAAGCATTGTAGAGAATTGGTAGAACTTCAAGAAGGAAGGCAGGGCAGTCTTAATGAGAAAGGACAGAAATTGACTAAAGAAAGGGTAGGCAAACGAGCTGAAAGGCGAATTGGTATCAGAGATTATACGCTGCTTATAGAAATTGACTAAAAGAATAAATGGAAAGAGTACATCAAGACCTGTATGACACAGATAGCAAGCCAACAGAAAAAGGATAAGTGGGAAGAACCATTTCCCAGGATGATTTTAGGACATGATCTTCTGGAGTGTGAAATAAATGAGGCCAGAAGAAGCAGGAGGACATGATGAAATTCCTGCAGAAATGATAGATGAGGCTTGGAGGGGGGAGAGGAAGGAAGGAAGGTAGAAACAGCAAGTGAGGTGACTAATTTGTAAAGGGAGATGTACATGAAGGAACCATGGCTGGAAGAAGTTCTGAAAACCATAGTAGCCGAATGGAGCCAGACTCCAATACCTCAAATCATAAACAGTGTTTCACTATGTTTGATTGCATATGCATCCAACATAATGGTCCTAACGGTTTTAAACCAAGAGGGAGGGGTTCATTCTAGGAAGAAGACTGTAATTCTGGTCTTGTCATAGCTTTTTCATTTGCTTTATTGATACTGGGGTAATCTTTCTGCTTCTTAAAACGATTTCTTTAGTTTGTGGAAGCTAAAGAGGGAAAGTATACAGCACTGGATCCCAGCTCTCTCGCTGCAGTGATTATGTGCAGATGTCAGTGAAGCCACACATAGAGTGGGTGGAATTTATTGTTGATGAATATCTAACAAATTCTTGAGTGCATTTAGATGAGCTGTTAATTTTCCATTATGGGTATCTGCCAAATATTAATTTTTACAATGTTAGCTTTGATTTTGAGCAGTAGCAAAATCATTCTAAGTGTGAAGTTATTAAAGAAAATATTTTGCTGCTGTGCAAATTATTAATGTTAGTAGATTTAATGTAGGATTTATTTTTGCTAGAAACAAGCAGCAAGTAGCAGAAATAATTAAAAGTTTTAAAGGTGAAGTGAAAAAAATGTTACGACATTCTGAGGCATCAGCAATTGTGGAATATGCATACAATGACAAAGCAGTATTAGAACAGAGGAAAATGCTAACAGAAGAACTTTATGGAAACACGTTCATGATTTGCAAGGTAATTTTTAACATATACTTGAATACAGAAAAAAAATCTACGTTGTGTCTTTGACAATTTTAACCATGTTGATTTCCATACTGTCTATTTGTAACTGAAATAAATGCTAATATAAATGTGATACATTGCCGATGAAAGGCCTGACGCTTGTATAAACTCAAAAGTCACATAAACTATTTTACCAACCTTTGAAGTGTTTCCAATTACCTGCTGTACAGTGGCTCAGTGGTTAGCACTGCTCCCTCAGCACCAGGGACCCAGGTTCAATTCCACCCTCTGGCGTGTGTTTGTGTGGAGTTTGCACATTCTCCCTGTGTCTGTGTGGGTTACCTCCGGGTGCTCCAGTTTCCTCCCACAGTCCAAAGATGTGCTGGTTAGGTAGATTGGCCATGGGAAATTGCCCCTTTGTTTCCTGGGATGTGCAGGCTATGTGGATTAGTCATGAGAAATGCGGGGTTACACAGATAGGGTGGCAGAGGGGTTGGGCCTGGATGGGAAGCTCTTCAGAGAGTTGGTGTGGACTCAATGGGTCGAATGGCCTGAATCCACACTGTAGTGATTGTATGGTTCTCTCTTTTTCTACTTTTATACGCAAACCGTCTCACTGTAATTTAGTTTTGAACCAGATTATTTTTCCCTTCCTCCAATTCAGTTTAGTTTGAAATATTATAGTTGAATATTTCCTTCTGACTCACTCCTCTCAATTTTGTAGTTGGGGCAGTCAATCTAAACTGAATGAAATCTGACCAGTTCCATTTTTAATTGCCATGCTTAGAAAGGGGCAGTTGCAAGACAGTGCCCATCAGAGAATGAAAGCCATCATTTCTAACAGCCTTAGTTAACAAGGCTGTATCCTTGCACCAATTAAATAGTTTATTCATTTCAAAATCAGAAGTTAATCTCTGGTGATTTAGGATTACAAAGGATGTATGGCACAGAACTGGCCATTCAGTCTAACTGGTCTGTGTCTCTGTTTATACATCACTTAAGCCACCTCTCATGTATTCTCCTTTAAATCTACCATTGTTTCCTTCTCTTTTTCTCCCCTTCTATGTTTGCCTAATTTCCACATATGTACGTCTAATATTTACTTTAATTGCACCCTGTGGTTGCAAATTCCACAATCTCCCACTATTTAGCTCGAAACATTTCTTAGTTTCCTGTTCAATTTTTTTGCTGCTACAGTTCAGATATCCATTATCCACATGCCTGAAAAGACCGAAGACTGTGAAAGTCTTTTCCAAAGCAGACCTGTCAACATGCTGCATTCTGGCCCTTTGGAACAGAAACGTTGCTCGACCTGAATGGACCTAAAAGTGAAGTTTATCTTCTAAAGTGTTGAACTCAGCGTGTCTACAGATCCATTCTGTCCCTTTGGGGGGAGAAAAACACTTCACATTTGGGTTAAGCAAAGTTTTTTTTCCAAAGGGCCTGAACAGACTACAGTGGACCCAAAAACCAAAAATACCCTTTATCCAAAATGTTGTTGGTCCTGTTGAAGGATGAAGGATTCCTGACCAGTGTATTGGTCTTGAGTTATGTTTTGCCTCACAAAAACAAATATTCTGCTTCCATGCTATCAAAACATTTCATAATTGTAAAAATAATTTATTAGATCACCCTCAGAAGACTGATGCATGAGAGGTGAGATGCAGCCAGTTAATTGTTTGCCTAAAAGTCATTTCTGATCTCATCTGCACCCTCCCCAGCGTCTGTAGGGGTAAGCTTGGCAAGTGCCCATCGAAAGTTTCAAATTGCAGGGCAATTCATGCAGCCTGAGAGCTTTGGGACTTCTACCTGATCCAAACATGCATCTTCCAGGGTCTGGGCAGTTGTAAACTGGATAATCTGGGCTATTAACCGCAGTGCTGTACGTTTGAAAATATTATTAAACTCCGCCCCCCCCGCCCCAAAAGAAATGGCCTCACAGTGACATCCGCACTCTGTTAAAGAATTTTTAAAAAACTTAATCATCAATATGAAACCCGATAAACCTGCAAGACTACACTGTAATTTTGCAGTTTTAGTTTTGTATTTAATAGATTATAACTGTTATTGTACAACAAAATCTAGTAAAAGCAATGTAAGTTTAGATGAAAAGTATTTATTCTGTGCAAGAGATGACTTGGTGCATAACAGCAGCGTGATATAGACTTCTGAGACTTGGCTTTGTCTTGATAGTTTCCAGCACATTGAGTTTACCTCGTTATTGAGTATCTCCCATATTGAACCAGACACCAGTGATTCTCTACAAAAAAGAGCTGCAATGTTGTTAATGTGTAGCATGTCAGTATAATATAATTGCAGAACAAGCTTCTAAAAATTTTTCTTTTGTCAGCATTTGGAATGGATTGTAACATTTGTGTTTCTTTTATTTACTAGTCTGTATTTTGTCCAACATTGGACAAAGTTCTTGAATCCAATCCGGATAAACGAGAGGGCATAATGGGAGAAATGAAAGAAATCCTCACTCCTATGGCACAGAAGTAAGAAGGCTATTGGTGATTTAACAATATATTGAGTCTTTTAGATTAGAATGAAACAAGTGACCTCATTCCAGCTTACTTCCAAACAAAATATATCTCTATTTCAAGTATATGATTTGATCTTCTGATACACATGATTACAATCTGTACCAAGTCCTTTACTCAGCACTAGTCAGGTATGAGGAGGAGTGAGGAAGAACCATTAACCCATTAAGGATATTCACGTCAAGGAAGCCCCCCCAGTGCCTTCTAAATAAGGGATATTAATTATTTTCTCTGATAAGTTACTGCTCCGTTCTTTACACTCTGATCGTATCATTTTGTAGAATTCTGTCTAGTATCTTCCTGAATGATTAAAGAATTCTGTTCCAGAGCTGTTTCATGTTTTGAGTAAAGTAAATTTTTTGGCCAACCAACTTCATACCCGTTTTATTTTCAGCTTGCTGAAGTGGTCTGTAATTTTATTCTATCCCTCACCTCAAATATGCTGGTTTCTTTGTTAATTTACCTAACTCCAACTCCTGTAGAACTTTGCCATCTGCATTCTATCCTACATGAATTGCACACTTTATTATCTCTGAACTTGAGGTGTGCTTATTTAATTTGATTAAATGTGCATAACCAATGTTTCATTTAGTTTTATCATTCAAATCGGGTAAAATACTTAGAGAATTGAACAGTCTTAATTCTCAGAAACAAGATCTGTTGAGAATGCAGTGCACTGAATTCAAACTCCTGGGTTGAAAGTTTCTGTATACAACTGTCCTTCAATGCTACTAAATATTTTTCTTTATAATTATATGGTAAAATAGTGTAAACTGATGCTCTGTTATCAGTTGACCTCGATAAGATGGCGTATGTGCTTTGCTTCCCATTGCTATATCATCTAGGTTTCCACTTCTGAAGTCAATGGACCCTATTTCGTTGGACTATCTCTTATGGTTAGGGGCATACTCACAGGGAGGCATCTTGTGAAAGGGTCTAAGGAGATCTAACTTATATAAATTTGCTCAATCAATTGGGAGCCACTTTAAATGTACAGGTAGTTAGCTGCTTGTGTAACGCTGTGTGTGCAATTTGCAATTAAAGTCAATCATACAGATGTAGTTTAATCCACTTTATCTCTTTGGGTATCTCTAGAGAAGCAGTAATAAAGCACACGTTGGTACACAAAGTATTCTTGGACTTCTTCACGTACTGCCCTGATAAAATGAGAACGGTAAATGATTTCTGTATCCAAAATCTTTGCTATTATTGTTCATAATTGTTTTAATTTGTTTACAAGGATTTGTTAACTATTCGAAGTTCCGGCTTGTGGATATAAATCTTTGTGTCTATCATCAAATATATGTATACTTTTTTTTTGTGAATGCTTAGTTTAATCCTTTTTAGCACCAAAACCTAATTTCAGATTGAAGTTGGTCCATCTATAATAACTAGCTTATTTGAGAATGCAGTTGAGCTGGTATTTTACTAATGAAAGCCATCTCTATTTTTCTCTTTAATCAACTGCAGTGACTGTTTTCATCATTGCATTTTTTTAACAGAGGCAATAAGAAACTTCAGCTGAATGAGTATTCACACTCGAGGTATGGCAGCATCTGTGGAGAGAAAGCAGAGTTAATGTTTCAGGTGCAGTGACCCTTGTTCAAAACTCCAGTTATAAAGAAGGATCACTGGATCCGACACATTAACTCAGCTTTCTCTCCACGGATGCTGCCGGACCTGCTGAGTTTTTCCAGTGATTTCTGTTTCTGTAAGTGCATAAACCTTTTTTTTTAAAAGCAAAATAGTGCTGTACGTAGGATGTTGCAAACTACATGTAGATCAGTGCAAAATGTCTTGTACAGTGTGTTCATGGGTCAAAAAACGAGGTTTTATTTATTTAATCATGGTGGAAGCAAGCCACTGCAACCATTCCAAAATATGGATAGCTTGGTGTAGTTTCATTAATTTATTCAAATAATATCAAACCTTGATTGTTTTGTATTACATGAGCATTGTTGATGGGGCCAACGATTGTTGTTAATCCCTAATTGCACTTGAACTGAGTAGCTCACTATTTCAGAAGGGAAATTAATAGTCGACCACATTGCTGTGGGTCTACAGTTACATGGAGGCTAAATGGGAGAAAGGATGGCACATTTCCATTTGAGCATTAGAGAACTGGCTGGACTTTTAGAGGAATCAATGATAGTTTCATGATCATCAGTACCAAGACCAACTTTATGCCCTGGATTTATTAATCGAGTTTAGATTCCACCAGCCACTCTGGTGGGATTTGAACCTATGACGCCATAACCCCTCTAGATGACTAGCCCAGTGAGATTTACTGCTGTTTTTATAGTTCACAGTTGTCATCTAAAGCTTGAAGTGATAATCGTTTTCCAGTTGTTCAAGGATGGCTTATTCTTTCATGTTAATTTGGTTGTTATTTTCTGTTTTCTGGCTAGCTGTTGGTGCAAGCAGAGGCTGATATTTTGAAGAAACATTTTAAAGTACATTTAAATTATTAGTACTAATATTAGCAAAATACTGCAAATAATAGAAATCTAAAATAAAAACAGAAAATGATGAAAATATTCTGCAGGCTTGGAACCATCTGTATAGTGAAATGTTTTGCGTCGATGGCCTTTCTTCGAGAACCATTATTTCTCTCCATACTACAGACACTTCCAGACCTGCTGAATATTTTTGTTTTTATTTCAGATCTTTTTTTTTTGCTTCTGATCAGAGTGTTCATTGCAATACACTTCAATAAAATCAACAGGAGAGAAAATAATACTGAATTTTGGGATTTGGTTGCTTGATGCATCAAATGAATCTTGAATAAATTTTAGTGTAGATTTGCCCCATGGTTAAACTTCAGCTTTCAAAATATGCATTTGTTATTTGCTTCACTTAATGATAGCTCGGCTGAGGGATTAATGATGGTCGTACCTATAATGAAGTAACTGTCTGAAATTTCTGAATTCAGGAAATGGTTGAAGCTGTGAGAGAAGCAGTCATTTATATGGCTCATACACATGATGGAAGCAGAGTGGCTATGCAATGCTTATGGCATGGAACCTCCAAAGTAAGCCAAAGAAACAGGACTTTTTTTTGGTTTGATGTTTATTATGCAGTGTATTTTTCCAGGCAAGTAAATGGATGCACCCTTGGATAAATAATAGATCACATGATTGACAAACATGCAAGTGTTCAAGAAAATGTTCCAACATCTGAATCTGTCTGATCGGAAAACATTTGGATAACTTTTGCTTCATTTCTTCAATTAGTTTCTTTTTCATATTCAAGAGTGCATGTTTCTAACCTGATTTTAAATTTTCTTGTAAATAGGATGATGTAGAATACTGTTTCATGGTTTGTACATGTAAGTCAATCTGAGAGTTCTGAGGTTGAGCTATTTGCTATCTAATTCAGGCCAGTCAGATTTCCACTTTGGTTCACAGTTTCAGTGGAAATTGCTGACAGCAGGCAGCGTGAAAGTGAAATACGACTGTAGGCCACAACAAGTAACCTCACTATCCTTTGAATCAAGGACGGCATAGATGTTCACATTTCTCACTCTTCATCACTGTCCAGCCATGCCTGTAGAGATGCATAAAGACAGTTGAATGTCAGATAAAAACTGTGATGGATGAATAGTCTGTCAATATACTGAAGGCTTAGGCACGGGATTGAACATCTGGAGTCAATAGAGCATAACTGGCAGCTAATGGTGTTTTCAAATGAAGGTTGGAGGTGGGATGTTGGGCACAAACTAGTTTGCAACTAAACTATCTTGTTTAATGCCGTGAAAGAAGCAAATTACAAACTGATCACTTAATCCAATTTTTGTTTTGTTTTAACATAGTTTATAAATGGATTTCTGTATTCGTTAATTACGTGCTTCTACATAGAGTTCAGTTACAATTCTTTACTAAAAGTTGTTATATTTCTTCCTAGGACAGAAAAATTATTGTGAAAACAATGAAGACCTACATAGAGAAAATTGCCACTGTAAGATGGGATCAGCAGCTTGTTTTTTTGTATGCTAGTAGTCCTTTGGAAATGTGACCAGATTTTTGTTTTTACATTGAGGTAGTACGGTAGTTAGTGAAGTAAATAACCAATGAAAAAGTGGAGCTCCCTGAGCTCAGTTCATTAATACTTTGTACCTCCTATTGATTGCTCGAAAGTACCCTACTTCAGACTTGCTGGAAACCTTTCTGATGCTTCTAATCGAGCTGTAAACAGTTTGAATCTCAATGAAGCTTGTAGACAAAGTATTTTTTTCCTGCTTATATATGCAAGGGCATATTTGAAGGTTTTGACTAACGTGAGTTTGTGTCCTTTGCGACTCAACCACAATGGGAACAATAGCTCCTTTAATTGTTATCCATGCTATTTAAATGGTGCAGAATGCCATGCTTCCTAGCAAATGACTCGTGTAATGGAGTGACAAGATTTATTTTGAGGTTTATTTTATTTATCGTTTTGTGGGATGTGAGCATTGCTGATAATACTTGAATTTGTTGCCAGTCCCTAATAGCCTTTGAACTGACGGCCGTGTTAGGCCATTTGAGAACACAGAGTTAGCTACATTGATATGAGTTTGGAGTCAAACAGATCAGACACAGATACAATTGGCAGATTTCCTTTTATAAAGGAAATTAGTGCATAATTGATTTTTTTAGGCAGTTGATAGTTTAATGGTCATTATTACTGAGATTTTTAATTCCTGATTGTATTACATGAACTTAATTGATTTAAGTCTGCCTTAGAGCATTGAATCAGTTTCGGAATCACTAGTCCAGTAATATTACCTCTATACCACCATCTTCTCTAAGTAGTGGACTGAAATTTTTTTTTCCTAACTTTGAATCTTCTACCTTCTAGTATGGACTTACAATATTTTACCAGGATTGGGTGTGGGAGCAACCTGTGATGACGAGCCCTACCTATAAGGAGGGGCACCGATAGCATCTTTGTTGAGAATTGGCATCTTACAGTCAATTGCATATCCGTTCCTTCACTGATTGGGAAAAGCAGTTCAGCACAATCTATGCATCCTCGTATTTCTATTATGCAACTTTTAGACTCTTCAGTTTTGGAATTGGATTTATGGCCTAACAGTGAAGAAATAATTGTATCGATTCTCTAATCAAAGTTAATTTAAGAATGGAATTTTAGTACTACATTAGCTAAGTGTTTGTTTGATAGGAGTTTGCATTTTTAGTAGTTTCTTATATTCTTCATTTAAATCTTAATGTCCCTGCAGAGCAACATTTGTATAATGATTTTGGTGTGTAAGACGTCTGCAGTGTTGAATTCTGAAACAGTAACCTGTGCATGTCATATAAATTATTTTGCAGGGTGAATTTTCCCATTTGGTTCTCATGGCAGCTTTTGACTGTATAGATGACACAAAACTTGTGAAACAGATCATTCTATCAGTGAGTCTTTGAATTCTTTCTACCCTACTTGGCAAAGAAGGAAAGACGAGCTCAAGGGCTCGTTTAGAGTAATTTTTTCAATGGGTGACATCATTTATATTAACATAACTAGATGTTGTTTTAATATTTTGGTTAATGTGATGGTCCTCCCGACCAAAATCATTCCTTACTAGATATGTGAATGCAGGAATTATGATGAGCATTTCTGAATATTGTCATTCTCAGGAGCAAGATTCTCTGATTTGCTGAAAACCTTTAACGCTGCTAATCCAAAGAGGGTCATAGTTTTGACTAGTAAACAATTTGATTCTCGATGAAGCTTGTAGACAAAATACAAATTATTTTTTCATGGTTGTATGCAAAAGGGTGTATTTGAAGGTTTTAACTAAAGTGAGTTTGTGTCCTTTGCTGCTCAGCAACAACGGGCACAACAGTTTCTTTTAATGTCACGCCTGCTATGTAAATAAAATTTATGCAGCTGAAGGTAACGTTGAATTGAAAATCAAGTAGTCAGATGATTAAGGTTTTTTTAAAAGTGTGTGTTGAGAACTCAGTAATCTTTTCTTGATGGTTTAGTTACTTTATGAACAAGGCAAATCTTTAACATCCTTTGTGCACTGGGTCTCTTTCCTCTCCTCTCCCTCCTCCACAATTTACTCCCAATGGCAGTAATTTGTACTGGAGTATATAACAATAATGATCTTTGAGCACCTTGTTCAAGTTAGCACCATTTAGTGAGTGGCAGTACGATGACAGAGTTTAACCCTGTCATTTTCAAGCATGTAAAATTTAATGTATTGTTGTTGGATCATGTTTATATCTTTGATCCATTTTCATCCTCCGGTCTCAGCCTGTGTATTGCTAAAGACCGCTAAATTAGCATGTAACCACTTCTTTTGGAAACTAATTGCCCAAATTGTCAGTGTCACTGAGCTGTTGTCATACGATATCATTCCACTCATGAAGTACATCTGAATTCAAAGCTCTATTTTTTCCTGCCACTAGTTGAATTAAATCCCAGCAAAAGCTGCCACCGTCAAGAAATACAGAGCAAAGCTGGGGCTATTTTTCCTGGAGCATCAGAGGCTGAGGGGTGACTTTATAGAAGTTTATAAAAATCATGACGGTCATAAATAGGGTGAATAGCCAAGGTCTTTTCCCCAGGGTAGGGAAGTTTGAAACTAGAGGTTTAAGGTGAGAGGGGAAAGATTTAAAAGGGACCAAAGGTGCAACTTTTTCACGCAGAATGTGGTGCATGTATGGAATGAGCTGCCAGAGGAGGTAGTGAAGGCTGGTACAATGACAGCATTTGAAATGCACCTGGATGGGTACATGAGTAGGAATGGTTTAGAGGGATATGGGCTAAATGGGACCGGATTAACTTAGGATACCTGGTCGGCATGGACGAGTTGGACCGAACCGTGCTGTATATCTCTATAACTGAACAACTCTAAGGAAGGAAAGTGTGAAATGAAATAGAATTTGGAATGAGATGGAGAATTGAATTAGTTAAGAAAATAAATAACTAACTGCTTTCTGGCTAATTTAAAATTTGTCTGTACAACTGGAAACAGGATTAACAGAAGAATTATTCCATTTAATATGTAGCAATTTTCTCTTTGCAGGAGATCATCGAAGCCTTGCCGAACTTGATTGACAATAAATACGGCAAGAAGGTTTTGGTGCATTTACTAAGTCCGAGGGATCCAGCACATACCGTGCCGGAGATTATTAAACTTCTACAACAAGGTGATGGGAATGCTCACAGGTGAGTGTTGTTTACATTTTTTACATGACTGGCGTTGTGTTCAGGGATTTGGCTCTTTGAGCATAAATTTTAGGACGCTATGCTGATTTTAGTGGGAACATTCTGAATTTCATATAGATTGCTAAACGAATGTGGCAAAATATGAAGCATTGTTTTACTCATTCACTGCATGAGATTGTCTATTACCCACCCTTGACTGTCATTGAGAAGTTGGTGGTGAACTGCCTTTTGGAACTGCTGTAGTCCATAGGGTTTTGGTGTGGTTAGGAAGAGACCGCCAGGATTTTGACTCATGAGCCAGTTAAAAATGACACTATAGCTTCAAGGTGCTGGAGGGCATTTTCTAGAGGGTACATGTACTGTGCTGGTGGAGGGAGTGAATGCTAAAGGTGTTAGGATGCCAAATGACTATTCTGTCCTGGATGGAATTGGATTTCTTATGTGTTATTGGATCTGCACTCATCCAGACCAGCAAACCGTAATCAATCACACGACTGGCTGGAGCCTTGTAGATGGGTGGGCAAGGTTTGAGTTACTTGCAGAATTTCCTGCCTCTGACATTCTGTTGCAGCCACGGTATTTATATTGCTGGTCTAGCTTAGTTGCTGGTCACTCCAGGCTGTTGGTAGCAGGGGATTCAGTGATGGGAATGCCATTGAATGTCAAGGAGCAATGTTTGGGCTTTTTCTGGTTGATGGTTGTGCTGCAGTTGGACACTGACTGTATCATTGTCTGAGGAGTTATGAATTATGCTGATATTGTGCAGTCATCAGTGAGCATTCCCTCTTCTGATGGAGGGAAGGTCATTGGAACATTTGAAGATGATTCGGTCTAGGATACGACCCTGAGGAGCTTCAGCAGTGATGTCCTGTACCTGAGGTCATAACCATCTTCTTTTGGGCTGAGTGTGACTCCCAACGAGCAGACAATGTGCCCATGGGTTCCCATTGACTCAAGTTTTGCTAGGGTCTGAAAAACAAGTCTTTATCTTATGATACTTGATCAAAAGGTTGCTGTAATGGCTGGTGGAACAAGAAAATTTGTTGAATTTAAAGGAAGAATTAGGTTCTTTTCAACAAATTGGATGGATAAGGGCAGCATAATGTTTAGTGGTTAGTACTACTGCCTCATGGCGCCAGGGACCCGGTTCGATTCCACCCTCGGGCGACTGTCTGTGTGGAGTTTGCACATTCTCCCTATGTCTGCATGGTTTTCCTCCGGGTGCTCCGGTTTCCTCCTACAGTCCAAAGATGTGCAGGTTAGGTGGTTTGGCCATGCAAAATTACCCATAGTGTTCAGGAATGTGCAGGCTAAGTGGGTTGGTCGTGGGAAATGCAGGGTTACAGGAATGGGGTCTGGGTGGGATGCTGTTCAAAAGGGTGGTGTGGACTGAATGGCCTGCTTCCGCACCGTAGAGATTCTGTGTGATAGCTGCAGTTATCTACGTAAAGTTGTTGCCCTCTTCGGGTGCAGAGGAGATTTACCAGGATGTTGCCTGGTATGGAGGGAACGTCTTATGAGGAAAGGCTGAGGGACTTGAGGCTGTTTTCGTTAGAGAGAAGAAGGTTAAGAGGTGACTTAATAGAGGCATACAAGATGATCAGAGGATTAGATAGGGTGGACAGCGAGAGCCTTTTTCCTTGGATGGTGATGGCTAACACGAGGGGACATAGCTTTAAATTGAGGGGTGATAGATATAGGACAGATGTCAGAGGTAGGTTCTTTACTCAAAGAGTAGTAAGGGCGTGGAATGCCCTGCCTGCAACAGTAGTAGACTCGCCAACTTTAAGGGCATTTAAATGGTCATTGGATAAACATATGGATGATAATGGAATAGTGTAGGTTAGATGGGCTTCAGATTGGGTTCACAGGTCGGTGCAACATCGAGGGCCGAAGGGCCTGTACTGCACTCTAATGTTCTATGTTCTCTCGCTCTCGACAAGATTGTGTTTTCAGTGATCGTATTTGCTACAGCCGTATATTATCAGACAACCTTAGGAGATGGATTCTCCCGTTTTCATTAAATAAGGGGTCTCATTATTTTTTGGCACAACTAGGAAGGAGACTCCTAGTCTGAGTAGTTGGCTATCTAGATGGGGTCAAGGTATAGGTACTAATGGTGATAAGAGCACAAAGTATGCAATTATGAATGTTATATGATTCCTTTTCCTTAAAATGCACATATGGGCATGAAATGAGCATAAATGGAGCATGGGTGTGGGATTTAGCTTATTGAGTCTACTCCATCAGTAAGTATGATCATACTTAATCCGGTGATCCTCAGCTCCACTTTCCTGCCTTTTCCCCATAACTCTTGAGTCACTTATTAAAAATCTGTTTCTCTGAGCCTTGAATATACTTAATGATCGAGCCTCCACAGCCCTCTACCGTTAAGAATTCCAGAGATTCACGACCTTCTGAGAGAAGTATTCCTCCTCATCTCTGTCTTAAATGGGCAAGCCTTATTCTGAGATTCTACCCTCTGGTCCTACTGGAAGCAACCTCTCAGCATCGAACCTGACAAACTCCCTAAGGATCTTTTATGTTTCAGTAAGGTTGACTTTCATTCTTCTAAAGTGCACTGAGCACAGGGCTAACCTATTTGTTCTGTCCTCATAAAAAATGTTCGTCCTGAGCCTAGAGAAACCTTCTGGACTGCCTCCAATGTCAGTGTATCTCCCTTGAGATAAGGGCGCAAAATATTATCAATTTCTCAATGTAGGCAAGGCATTTTTTGACTCCATTACCTTTGAAATGAAGGCCAACATTCCATGTGCCTTCCTTATTACCTGCTGAACCTGTATGCCACCATTTTTTGTGATTCATACATAATGATCCCGAATTCCCTTGGCACTGCAGTTTTCCTAATTTAACTAATATTCAGCTCCTCTATTCTTATTATCAAATTGCATCTATCTATGAAGTTTTTGCCCACTCATTAACTTATGTCCTTCTATAAACTGTGTCACCCTCACCCACCTTCCCTCTCACCTATTTTTGCCATCCTCAAACTTGGCAATAGTATACACATTTCAATTATCCAACTCATTAATATATATTGTACATAATTGTGACCCAACACTCAACCCTGTGACTGTCCACCAATTACAGATGCCATCCTGAAAATGCCCCAATTTATCCTAACTCTCAGTCTTCTATTGGTTAACCAATTCTCTATCAATTCTCCTATAACATCCTGACCCCATCCCAAACATCAGAGCTTTTTAAGTAGCCCTCTAAAACCCCTTTTAAAAATCTAAATCTCTGGTGGTTTCCCTTTATCTGTCCTGCTTATTACCTGAAAGAATTCTGATAAATTTTTTAGGCATGATTTTCCCCTTCATGAAGCCATGCTAACTCTGGTTAACGAACTTGAGTATTTTTAAATGCTTTATTATTACATCTTTAATAAGACACTCTTTAAGATTTTGCCAATGACAGATGTCCTCATTTAATTAACTACTTTTCCAGCATTTCATGGTGATACCAGTAACACTTAAACAGGATGATCTGTGTAATTGATAAGAATTGAACTGAGAGGAGTGGGCATGTCATTGACAGCAATTACTAATTCATGGTTGTTTGACAAAGAAGAGACTCGACTCTGGAATACACCAAGTGTGGGCCTTTTAAGGAAGGCTAAGATGGTTGTGAAGGTTGTTTTGATCAAAATCTGCAAACATGTTGCCAAGGTTACAAATTTTGCAACCATTAAATGTAGTCCCTGATAACTTTAGCACTTTTTCTTTGATTTGAATTATCATTATTGTCATTTCAGGTGTTACTAAAAAATAGTTTTTGAGTCTAGAATGACAGTTTCTGTTCAGTTACATGTGAATTGATCAAAAACACTACTCTTTATTTGCCCATTGCTTTCTGGTAAATATGATATTCAACTTTCAGGTGAGAAAGGAGGTAGAATAGAATTATATAGTGATACAGTGCTTTTTATAAATTTGGGGATTGAAAATTGAATACTAGAATTAAAACAAACGTAAATGCTTTAGAATTTATTGAAATGTTCTGAAAATGCATTGCTGCCAAAAATGAAGTCCTGAAAGAGTCAAGAGATTTAAGTGTTTATCTATTATTCCAGCAAGAAGGATTCAGATATTCGTCAACGTGAGTTGCTGACAGCCATCTCGCCAAGTTTGCTGAAATACTTACAGGAGAATGCTCGGGAAATGGTGATGAATAAGGCAAAAAGTGTCATTGTGGCAGATATTCTGGGCCGTGCTATTGGTGATTTGCAGCCTGCCATAAATGCTATCGTTGAAGTGGCTGCAGAAGACTTTGTACCTGGAGGCGATAATGGTGAGGTAATGTATAAATATTCATCTTTTATTTTGCTCCCCCCTTGTCTGAGTTGCATCAAGCACTCTGCATCTTGAATCACTGAGTTGTGTGGTTTCATAGAAAAATAACACTTAAGTTTAAAAAAGACCAAATGAATTTTGAATTGTCAAATTCCGAATGTGAAATGCTGCACTACGTTTTCAAGACAAAGTTGGTATTTAGTGTGTGTGTAGTTACTAATAGACTTAATTGACAAAATGCTAAAATTTGATCAAAAGAGCTGTTTTCCTGCCCCTCCCCCAATGAACTTACTACCTATTCGTTTCGACCAATTTTCAAAATGTTTCCCAGAATGACACTCAAAATTTCTTATTAGATTTTATGAATTATTTTGAAAGGGTCAGGTCAATGAAGTGCTGTATGCAAGTGTCAGTCAGACTAGTCAGAATGTAATGAATATATTTCTGTGAAACCAAAAATAACCAGAGAAAATGTACTAAAAGAGGATAATGGCTTTTGTAGAATTAACTTTATTAAAGAAAATGAATACTGTGCATGTAACGTAATAAAAACTAAAGACACTTCCCAAGGCATTGTAAGATAAAGTGTGACTTCATCAAGCAAGGTATCAGTGAGATGATACAGGGGTGTGATTAAAGGAGAAAGGTGTGGTAGAAGAAGTGTAGGGAGGCAATTCTAGAGCTTGGGAACTGGGCACAAGGGTGACTTGGCAAGTTGGGTCCAAATTGGCCTGATAATAGAAGGCGGTTTGTGTGACTAGAGGCCAGTGTCCAGTGGTGTACCACAAGGATCAGTGCTGTGTCTCTGTTGTTTGTGATGTATATAAATGATATAAAAGAAAATGTGGAGGGATACATTTGCGGATGACACAAAGATTGGTTGGGTGGTTGATACTAAGGAAGAAAATCCTAGTTTATAGGAGAATACAAACAGATTAGTGGCAGATGGCACTTAACCCTGAAAAATGAGAGATGTTTCACTTTGGAAGAAGTAACAAGTCAAGTGTGTACTCAATGAGTGGCAGGACATTAGGACACTTGGGAATAGAGGCATCTTGAGGTGTTTGTCCAAAGGTTGTTAGGGTGGTTAAGAAGATATATGGGCATGTGCCTTTATCAGGCATGGCATAGATTATAAGAGCAGAGGCTTATGTTGAAGTTGCATGGAACTTTGGTTAGGCCACAGCTGGAGTATTGAGAGTAGTTCTTGTCACCTCACATTTGGAAAGAAGTGATTGCACTAGAGGGGGTGCAGAGGAGGATTTTGGCTGGGATGAAGCATTTGAGCCATGAAGAGAGGCTGGATGGGTTTGTGTTAAAAAATAAAAATTGCTGGAAAAGCTCAGCAGGTCTGGCAGAATCTGTGGAGAGAAATCAGAGTTAATGTTTTGGGTTGAGTGACCCTTCCCCGGGACTGAAAAAGTTGGGTTTGTGTTGTTTTATTTAGAGCAGAGGAGGCTGAGACAGGACCTGACTGATGTGCATAAGATTATCACGGACAGGATGAATAGAAAGCAGTTTTTACCCTTAGATAAAGGGCATAAATTTTAATTTTAAAAACAGGAGGTATGGAGGAGATATGAGGAAAATATTTTTCACACGGGGGTGTTGGGAATCTAGAATGCACTGCCTGTGAGAGTAGTTGATACAGGAAACCTCACAACCTTTAAAAAGTACTTTAATGGGCACATGAAGTGTCATAACATTCAAGGCTGTGGGTCAAGTGGTAGCAAGTGGCACTGGTGTAGATTTAGTCGGTGCAGACTTTGATGGGCCAAAGGCCGCCTTTTGGGCTCTATGGTTCTATGATTCTTTCTCTTCCTCATTTTAGCTCCATATGGTAGAGCACCCTGCAGGTCACCTGGTTCTTAAGTGGTTAATAGAACAAGATGGAAAGATGGAGGAACTTGGAAGGCCAGGTAAGACTTGTTTTTAGGGTGGGGTGGGGGTTGAGCATGTAGCTCAGGATTGTGCAATTAAGTTTAAACATGTTTTGGATGGTGAGACATCCTGGAGTATCCATGTCGGCCTTGTGCACTTAGAGTCATACAGCACGGAAACAGACTCATCCAACTCATCCGTGCCGACCATACATTGTAATCTGATCCAGTCCCATTTGGCAGCATTTGGCCCATATCCCTCTAAACCCTTGCTATTCGTTTACCCATCCAGATGCCTTTTAATTATTGTAATTGTACCAGCCTCCACCACTTCCTCTGGCAGCTTGTTTCATACACACAACACCCTTTGAGTGTAAAAGTTAACCCTCAGGTCCTTTTTAAATCTTTCTCCATCACCTTACACCTATGCCCTCTAGTTTTGGACTCCACCCTAGGAAAAGGACCTGGGCTATTCACCCTATTTATGCTCCTCATGATTTTATAAACTCTATAAGGTTACCCCTCAGCCTCAAGCTCCAAGGGAAAAACGCCCAGCCTATTCAGCCTCTCTCTATAGCTCAAACTTTCCAGTCCCTGTAACATACTTGTAAATCTTTTCTGCACCCTCTCGGGTTTTAACAAGGTTCTTCCTATAGAAGGTTGACCAGGATTGCACGCAGTATTTTAAGAGTGACCTCACCTGTGTCTTGCACAGCTACAACATGATGTCCTAACTCCTACACTCAATGTTCTGACCAATGAAGGCAAGTGTGCCAAACACCTTATTCAGCACCCTGCCTACCTGTCCTTGGACAATTGGCCCATCTGATCGAGGTCCTATAATACTCTGGGATTATCTTCTTCACTGTCCACTACTCTACCTATTTTGGTGTCATCTGCAAACATACATCCTATATTCATATCCAAATCATTTATATAAATGGTGAAAAGCAGTACCAAAACGTTTGGCACACCGCTGGTCGCAGGATCCAGTCTGACAAGCAACACTGTACTACCACCCTCTGTCTCCTGCCTTCAAGCCAATTTTGAATCCAATTGGCTAGCTCTGCTGGATTCCATGTGATCTAACCTTACTTAACTGGTTTACCATACAGAACCTTGATGCATGCTTTGCTGAAGTCCATATGGAGGTCTGCCACTTTGCCTTCATCAATCTTCTTCGTCCCCTCTTCAGAAAAACTCAGTCAAGTTGGTGAGACGCAATTTCCCCCACACAAAGTCATGTTGACCATCCCTGATCAGTCCTTGCCTTTCCAAATGCATGTAAATCCTGTCCTTGAAGTATGCCTAAACAAGCACAGGGTGAAGGCAAAACAGTTCTTCCAAATTTTCATTTCAGAATGCCATACTTGTGGTACTCCTTGGATGTACTTTATATCGAGTCCAATCCTAAGCTAATCATTAGCTTTCAGCACAAATGTATCATGCTATGAAACTTGCACAACCTGTAAGGCAAATCTGTCACAGCTGGAAAAGCAGCATTTTGCCTTTCTTCAATATTTATATCGCATTCTGCAGGGACTTGCCTCAGCACTGAGCTGAAATTCTTAGCAAGTGGAAAATTGAATATTAATAGGCTTCATTTTCTTTCATCTGAACCTATTCCACTGTGTGATAAGAACAAATGTTGCCTTGAGCTCAGATGAGTTTTAAAAACGCTAAAGAACTTGTGCCAGTAACAAGCAATTGCGTTCTTGCCTTATGGGTATGATTACCATATCCAGCAGCTGTGACCATGGTATGTCACTCTCCAGTGGGGCCATCAAATAGGGCTGTGCGTTATTGCACTAACAAAGTTTGTAGTCTTGAACCAAGAGCCGATTACTCTCAAGTCCACGTTGCTATCAGGAGCCAGACAGGTTCTACAGAGTCCCAATAAGATTCTCCATCTTCCAAAACTCGAAGATCATCATTCAATCCCCACAATCCAATTGTTACTATTTATAGATCCTACTTCCACACAGCTCGGCAGTGATCCAACACTTCCCAAATCCAGAACAGGAACTGGTCTAAACAGTTTTTGCTGTGCTATTGGCTACTTCCTCCTCCTAAAATAACAAAGGCACACCTGCGAAAAAAAAAGATGCCAGCTTCACCAATTATCTAAACAAATAACCACAACAAATATTTTCAATTTCAAAGAAATGTTGAAGGTCATATTGCTCAAAAAAATGTTGTTGCATCTATAACACACATTGGTAAGTTATACAGGGACTTGAGATTTTTGAAGAATTTTAACCATAAAATCCAAACCAGCAGAGCAGTACTAAGGGAACTTTAACTTCATAATTGTGACCATAATGCCAACACAAAATTGTTCATCACAGAATCTTATTAGATGAGTTTCACTTGCCAATCCATGTAATTATGGTGGTTAAGTTTAAGCTTTATTGTATTTAATACATTATAAATGAGTTCCAATACTCAGCTAACCCCCTGACAAGAAATAATTTTTTTTTAGTGGTTTAACTACTATGGCATTAGGCATTTTTGACTTTCTCCTGGATGTTCCCCCTTTGCCTTTAGGACTGGTTGTACTGTGTTGTAATCCATGGTTATAGATTTTCTTCAATAGCTTTCTAGCTCTGGCTTAACTACTCCAAGGGTTGAAAGATTTAAACTTCTGACAGTTGTGACATCCTTTGATGTTCCCTTGCTTGGTTAAACACAGCATTCCAACTTGTACTCCATTCTTTATTGACCGTTTCCAAAGTGCTTCATAATTTTCTGAAGTCTTGCTTAAGAGCTGATTCAGCTGACAAGTGTGGCTTTAAATGCTACATTCCACCCTCAAGTATTCATGCAAGAATGGCGATCAACCAAAATTAATTCAGTCATGTGAATTTTTTTCACGGTGTCATTTAAGTGTAAGGTTACTTCAAGTCCAGTTGTGTTACATTATGAGCATAGAAATTTGGAGCAGAAGATCATTCAGCTCCTTGACACTGTTGCCCCATTTAACATGTTATGGCCACAAGTCTACTTTCCTATCTATGTCCTATATACTTTTATTCCCTGGTCTATGATGAATTTACTTATCTCTGGGAAGAAAATTCCACAGAATGACAAATCTCAGAAGAATGCTTTCTCCTCATCTGTCTTCAGTGCAAAACCAGTGGTCAATTGCTTTTGTTCAAAATGTTAATGCGAATACTATTATTTGATTTGGAAATGGACAGAATTTTTCCTCTTGAACTTGCATTATGTTATACTATTTACTAAGCATGTATTTTTTGCATAAATCTGACAACCATTTGACACTGAAATCAGTAGTATTGAAATTCCTATTATTCAAAATGATGTTCACCCTATTTTGAAAGAAATACCTTTGCAGACTTTCCAACCTGAGATAACTGAAAGGGAAGTTAGATTACACTGGTATTCTTTTACAGTGATAGCCAATAAATTAAATGAATCACAGTGGTTAAACAATTCTATTTATGTTTCTGAGATAACAAGGTGTAGAGCTGGATGAACACAGCAGGCCGAGCAGGAAAGCTGACGTTTCGGGTCCGGACCCTTCTTCAAAAAAGGTTCTGAAGAAGGGTCTAGACCCGAAACGTCAGCTTTCCTGCTCCTCCGATGCTGCTTGGCCTGCTGTGTTCATCCAGCTCTATACCTACTATCTCTATTTATGTTTCTGCCATATTATCATAGTAAATTAATCTGTTTAAGGAACAGTTGTGTTGTTGTAATAATGTGAAAGCATTGTTTGCTATATATGAAATGTAGTTGCTCCAGGATAACACTTAAAGGCCAGAGCACAAACATCTGAAGAAAGTTATGTAATGATTTTTGAATTTTTAATTTACAGAATGCTTTGCAAGAACATTAATAGAACATGTTGGAATTGAAAAGTTGAAGTCCTGGGTGCAGGTAAACCGTGGAGCTATTGTGCTTTGTTGGTAAGCATTAAATTAAATCCGAATTCATGGTCACATGATTTCTTTGTAACTGTACACCATTCAATAACCTGAATGTTCATTGACCAGATTGTGTCTGACAGATCTTCTAATAGTAGAATAAGAAAATGCTTGATTCCAATGACGTGCTCAGTAATCATCAAAAGTTCCAACAACTTTAAAATTGCAGAGATGTTCTAGAGAGCTTTTTACAATATGTTAAATAGTGAGCATTCCAGTTGGAGACAGAGAAGTGGATCAAGAGGGATAAGAACAGATTTCAATGTGAAGGTCCAAAGGGACTTTTGACAGGTGAGGAAGGTTGTGGAGATACTGCTAGGAAGATCTGTAGAACATATATGCCTTGCTATTCAACCGAGTGCACATAATCTGATTGGTATGTTGACCATGATGACCACATCTTTCCACCAACCACCACCACCACCACCACCACCACCACCCACCCCACACC